GCCATCCTTCACGAGCTAAGACAAAAATGTGTGAGCCAGAGGGTAAAAAACTGTGAGCTAGCTCACACTAACTCAACTTAAAGGGAACACTGGTAGAGAGTAGATTTGAACCCTGGCCTTCCTAGATCTTACTGCCACACTCTAACTACTACATCACACTGCCTCTCCGCACCATACCAGCGTGACCATCTTCATATGCCTTTCCAATGGACACTGACTGAGGTGAAATGGAGTTGTACTGTTAGCCAACAAGGTGTATGACTTATTCAAGCAGCAGCAGCAGAAGAAGAGGACAAAGAAGAGAAGAGGAGATTGGATTTATACCCCACCCTTAACTCGGAATCTCAGAGCTGCTTACAATCTCCTTTCCCTTCCCCACAACAGACACCCTGTGCGAGGTAGGTGGGGCTGAGAGAGCTCTGACAGAAACTGCTCTCGAGAGAACTTGTGACTAATCCAAGGCTTCACCAGTAGCTGCTTCTATGTGAATTCCATGTGTTAATCACTCTTTGGGTGAAGAAGTACTTCCTTTTATCCGTTCTAACCCGACCGCTCAGCAACTTCATTGAGTACCCACGAGTTCTTGTATTGTAAGAAAGGGAGAAAAGTACCTCTTTCTCTACCTGTTCTATCCCATGCATAATCTTATAAACCTCAATCAAGCTAAGGGTCAAAGTCATGCTCCACGCATCCAGAGAAGGCAACGCTGGGCTGGCTCGGCAGCCCGAGATGGGGGGGGGAGAGATTTCTCTCGGCGGAGCGCCCTTGGACTCCGCCGGGAAGGTTGGTGAAGGGACCTTGAGGAGCAGCCTCGCTAGCCCGAGACTGGGGGAGATTTCAGGGGTGGGGGAGGTGGGCCCTCCTCCCGGCTGCTGCACGCAGCTGGGAGGAAGTATCCACGGGGTGGGGGGGGAGAAAGGCAAGGCCGGGTGGGCTCGGCAGCCTACTTACCCTCCTGCTTCATCCTCGTTCTCCAACAGAATGAGGATCAAGCAGAGGGCAGCGTGAAGAAGGGGGTGGGGCTTCACCACGTGACCGCCCCGCCCCCCGGAGGGTCTCTTCCGGAGCACCGTACCGGAGTGCTCCCCCTCCATGAGACCCCTGGTCCCTTCTAAGAAGAAGCTCCCAATCAATTCAGCTTCCCATATTTATAGGTTTTTAAAAATCTCCAACAATAGCTAGCTCTTCTGCTTGATAAGGGCTCATATTCTTGGCTAATTATCTTATAACTTCAAACAGCACACAAAGTTATCTAGACTTGAATATCCTTTTTTAAAAATAGATAAAAACTGTTCATTCTTGCTATTTTTTATCTTAACAAAGTATATTTAAAAATAGTGTTTATGAATTTTTCATACATATAAATATCTGTTGGCCTTCAATGAATATACCTTATTTTTTGAACTTTATCTTCACATCTGTGAACCTGGGCATTTGTACCAAACTTCTGCACCTAGGCCTCAACACATAATATGAATTATATCATATCATATCATATCAACACATTGATATCAATTAGACGGCTTCTAATCTACAAAAGGCCATATGAGTGTGTTATTCCTTTCTTTCTTGCCCTTCTCCAAGGCTATTTTATTCTGATTCTCTAAACTCCCTTTTGGCATTTTTAGTTGTGAGGCCGAATCAGTTCTATCTCTGGTGTGCAGAAGCATCCTCCATGATCTTTTTGGGGAAGTCCAGCAACTGTTCCCCTATACTCCTGGCCACATCTGTGACAACGTGTAATGACTAGGAGGATGGGGCAAAGAGAAGAAGGGTACTTAGCCTTCCTCTCCTTCTCCTTCCTTGTTCTCACACCCACAGACCCTCTTAATTTCCCCCCTTACTCCCCATGTCATTTTTTCCTCTTTTTTTCACTTTCCCTTTTCCCTTTTGGAGGGATATTTTGGAGGAAGTGTCTCCCAGACCTGGAGTGCTAACTTTCCTATACTGCATGTTAAAAGTTGGTTTGGGTAACTTGGCTCCTCATTACTTTTCTGGCAGATCTTTTTTGCCAAACCTTGTATACAGACCCTTAACTTTTCTGTGTAAACTCTCAAAAAGCATGTTGGTCTGTCAGCTTAGGTTCACTCAGGCCCCTGCCACACGGCAGAAAAAAACACGGCCAAAGTGCGGCTATTCAGAGCCGCACCAAAAGAGACACGCGGCGGCGGGATCACACAGATCCCCTGAGCCGCTGCGCCATTGCTCCCTGGCATGATCAGATGCCGGGGAGGAAGCCACCGACGGGAGACTGAGGCAGCTGTGTACGCATGCGCAGTTCGGCCAGGAGCCTCGGATGCGCCGGCAGAAGGATGCACCGGCGATCCCACAGCTGCGTTTGCCTTTCTGGTAAGTCCACCTCTGTAGGTGGTTTGCTTTCACTGCAGATTTTTGGCCTGAAGAGCCGGATCAGGGATGGGTGCGCGCCACTTCCCAGATGTTGCGGTGGGATTGCGCCCGTTTGCTGTGCCCCCGATCCGTCCCTCTTCCGGCCCTTGACCTCCCATGTGACCGGGGCCTCAGTTCCATTTTTTATATACGATGAGGCATTTCTTGTGAATTATTTGTGGAGGGGAGCAAGCCCCTAGGCTGCTGGAGGAACAGAAGGAACTTTGGTTTTAGGGAGCATATACCACAGGATATATATCATCCAAGGCCCCTACGATCCTTTCAATGACAAATGGGGAGCCACCTGGGTGCAGAAAGGTTCCTTTAGGGTTTGAAAATATCATCAGGATGGGATTGTCCTCCACTCTGGCATGCCTTATAGAGATGCATCTCTCTCCATTCTTTCCACAGTGCAGGGACTGTCCCTATTGCTGTTGAAAGGATCCTTTTACAGTTGGGGTATTTGGGGTACTCTCAGCCAACTTCTCTCCCTTGTTTAAGGTCCCAGGTTGCTTACTTCAGCTTTGATATCTCAGCCCTGGCCAGCTGGCCCCTTGGCCCCATTCTAGTTGCCTCTTCAGGGATTTTCTATGGCAGTCAGATGGTGATACACAGCACTTTTTTTATAAACAAAAAGGTGCCAATAATCATATATAAGGTTGTGCTGATTTCTACCAGTGCCCACTTCACGACTTGGGACAGCCCTGAAAAAGGTGCCAGTACTCACAAAAGGGGGCAGGGAAGTCCTCTGCCATTTTTAAAGGGAGAAGGAAGTTGTTTTGACTTATCCATCAAATATATTTGGTATAGATAAGGGCTCTCTCTCTCTCCCTCTCTCTCTCCCTCTCTCTCTCTCTCTCTCTCTCTCTCTGTGTGTGTGTGTGTGTGTGAGGAAAACAAAATGAGAGAGTAAGGTATGCTTCTCTTACATTGTCTTTGTTTTAACCTACTCAAGTTTATGTAGCAATTTAGGCAATACATAAGTATGGTAAGCTCCTAGACCTCAGACTACTGCAGTTATGAAAGCCAAAAAAGTGTTCTATGATTGCTTCAGGATCTGCTCCAACAACAAATAGCTTTCATGGTACAGTTCAAAATGTTAGTGTTCCTAAATAAAATCACTGGGCCTTCAAAATCTCCTTTAGATATCAAATCACTAAGCAAAATCTATCAAAATGATTTCCATATTGACATCTCTCATTTAAACCATGAGTGACGTTTCACCTACATTCCTACTGGCTGTTCCTCATTTATGCACTCTCTTTAGTCTGGAGACTTATCAAAAGCTAAAGTTCTATAAGTTATGAAACTTTATATTTCGGAGTAACCTTTGTAATTTTATATAAACATTTTTGGGTTAGTTTTAATCTGCATATTTTGTATTCTCGTATATTTTAATGTTGATAACATTACCTTTCTTGAATTGGGTTTTTTCCCACCAAAAGCCTTAAATACTTCAGCAAAGAAATTACATTTTACCATATAAATGCTCAATGGGTTGCTAGTGCCTAGGAATACTGGAATAAATTAAGAACAATGTGCACATCAAATATTCAACATTTTTGTCTGACGACTTTAAGCAAACTGCTGAAGTTTTAAAGTTATTTTGCTCTACTTGGTACCAGCCATAATCATGCTTACTTTTGAACAATCCTACTACGATCAATGGAGCTTGCTTAAAAGGGCACTTAGTACCAAAGCAATTGCATGGAGTTTAAATTTTTTAAAAAACCAACAGGAGCTTTTGTAGACCGTTTGCAATTAAAGTGCTAATTTATGAGCCAAATTTTCCACCTGTGTATAACTTTTCTTTAAAATTAAGGTATGTCTCTTATTTTAAATGCTATTGTTTCTGTTACAGTTTTTAAATATTTCATTCTATAGTCCTTCATAGGGTGGGTGGAAGACGGAGAGGAAGAAATAATATTAATTCTTTCATTTACTTGTCTAACTGTTTTTGAAGGGATGAATGTGAATTAACAGTGTTATCCTTTCCTAACAATTATCTTTCGCTACTCTAGCTAGTTTAGTTCTAAAAGACAGTGCCATTGACAAGGGGGAAAAAAGAACCTTCTCAGATTTTTCAGCTCAGCGGTGGTAATGTTGCACTGAACACTAATGAGGGAACCCCCACTGGTTTGCCTGCTTTGTGACTTTTCTATTTCATAATTATTTTTAAAACGCAAAACGACATGAGGTAGCTCAGTCATGTCTCTGCTACTTCCTGGTACCTCAGTGCTCACTACAGATGGCAATTTGTTCTTGTAACATATATGTCTCTCTGACCATTTTCGTCTAATTTGTATGGGTTCTACCATTTCCTTTCTCTCTTTCAGGGGCCTTGCTGTGTGTGAGCTAGGGGGTGGCATGACATGCTTGGCTGGGCTCATGGTAGGTCTTTTCTCAATTCCAATCCCATTCAAAGGGAGGAACAAAAGGAAAAAAATGTTCCAGTGCCTCCAACTGCTGGGTCAGAGAACTGTCAACAGAATCAGCTGCGGTCAAGCTGCAGAGTCTTGAGAGACCTTCTAGATTGACTTGCTTTCGTATCATATTGATTTTATGGTTGCCTCGATGAGCAGAAACATTTTACCTCAGTGTAGTCAATATCTCTTGTTGTGACATTCCAGGCCACGTACAGTCTGTCTTTCAGTGCCATAGCTGAAGCTCTCCCCCCCCCTTCAGATTATAGTCCCCCATTTGCTAAGATACAGGAATAGCCTGGCGAATCACAGTTGGAGCACCATGATATAGCTGCTAATGTTTTGCCTGCATTATTACACCAACAAACATGATCCAGAGCTCTCGGTAATTAGATTCTTTTGAATTAGATTGGCCATTCAGGAGCGTCGTTCACCATTCTCTGGGTTCTGAGTCATGTATTCAGGAGATATTATGTAGCAGTGCAGTGCATTAGACAAGTTTTTATGTCTCTACAAATAAAAGCATATTGTTACACTGATTGGCATTTGACAAACCTGTCGTTCTTACACAATGTGTCGAGGTTACAGCCCAATGTGCGAGCATGTCAAAGCTCACAAAAAAATTACCCTTACAAAGCCATCTGCCTGCAATGCAAAGTTATATGAAGGGCATCAGGCAGTCAGACAGAAGCAAGCTGAAAGGCAGAGTGACAGCCTCGTATGATGGCTCTACTAGATAAACAGAAGCCCGCAAATGAAAGCTTCTCAGAATACCATCATCCGCTGTCACAATGCAATTACGGAACAGAATGATAGCAAGATAGAGGCTCCCGCAAATGGAATGATAAAAGTATTGACTGATTTGATTGAATGATTAAAATAATGCAGACATAAAATGAAAAAAGATTGAAGACTGTTACAGAGAAATAGGTGAGGAAGCATGATACTGAAGGCTTGTCACTCCTGTCTTCACTTCCACACAGACAAGCATATTTGCTCATTGTTTGCTGTGCTCTTTTTTTTCCCCCTTCCAGGTTGCTATTTCTGCAGATGTCAAAGAAGTTCTGTTAACTGATGGAAATGAAAAGGCCATCAAAAGTATCCTTATTCAGATAGAAAACTGGTTTGTTGGACTCATTCCTTTTTTTCACTGTCTGAGCAACAATTGATACAAATGCAGCAAGAGGTAGTTATAATAATGTATGTATATACACACACATCCACTATAGGTAATTAAAAATATGTAAAATTTTTGGAATAGATCCCCAGTGTTCCCTAGAATAAATTCACATTCTCTTTGCATTGAAAAGTGTGTAAATTTAGAGAGAAAGCAGTGTACAACATGATAAATACTAGTCCCAGTGTAAGTATTTGAAAATTTCATTCAAATAAGATCTATTTAAAAATACAACATAAGTTTTAACAATTAATTCCAACGTTCTTTTTTATTGTCTGCTTTACTTTTTCCCTGATTTCAGATATTAACAGTTTAATAGCACTGCATTTAACTAATTTCTACGTTTTGTATTGCACCATGTACACAAATCTCACTCCAACTAACCTCCCCTAAACTCCAAATAAGATGCATCTTTGTTTAATTGGTTGCTTATTGACTGTTATTTATTGTAAGACAAATTCTTCAAATGTCTGCTCTCCATTCAGTACTGTTAACAGTATTCTATTCCAATAATTTTAATGCAGATTAATAAGTATGCAAGTAAACATATTTGATCTTTCATATGGTTACAAATTATATCCTCTTAGCTGTCTTCAACAGCAGAAGATCTGAGTCCCACAGTGAATATTAATGGCTGAAAGAAATTGAGAGGGGAAAGTGGAAGGTATCTGTTTACTTTGGTGCTTTGATGATAATGATGTTGGCATATTAAGGTTCTTCAGTATGGCAGTACACTGATGTCAGTGTTATTGCGAAGTCTCGTTGTTACTAATAAATTCCAGAAGAGTAGCCATGTTAGTCCATTGTAGCCAAATCAAAAGGGAGATTTGTAACAAAAGCATATTTATTGTGGCATAAACGTTTGTGGACGCAAGCCCACCTGATGAAGTGGGCTCTACTCACAGAAGGTTAGGCCATAATCAATTTGTTAGTCTTTAAAAGTACCATAAGATCTCTTTTTCTCACTGCACCACATTGACCTTTAACCTCAATTTATTTTTGAATTTTCTTTTAAAAATAAGTATTTACAACATGTGTACAGTATAGACATAAAATATTTGCTCAGTCTTCAAACTTTCTTACATTTTATTTGAGAGGTCACAGGACAAGTACAGCCATTTCAAATATTTAGAGGATTTAAGGGAAGAGCATAGCCCTAATTGCTGACCATGTCCTTTTGAAATGTGACTTACTGAAGCTTTAAAACTTGCTTTTCCCCCCCTCTTCAGTTATGTAGGGTTTTCATTGCTAGCCATAAAATCTTGTTGACTTCATTTCTTTCTTGCGGGAATATTGTGTGTGGGGCATTGTGTTGTACTTTTTTGTTTCATACCACTCCTCAAAAAGCAAAAAAGAACACAAAAGGATTTTTTAAATTCCATTTTTAAATCAACATGGTTAAAGCAAGATATATTATAAACAGAACTAAACCATTTAATGTGTAAGCAACCTTACATCTAGTTTCAGATCGCTTATGGATGAACACTAAACAAACAGTTTCCTAAAGGTCTATTCTAAAGTTTTATTGAGCCACTGAAGTCTTTTGTCATGATCCAACATGCTACCTAAGTTTGGGACTGAAATTGTGTATTTTATAATTTTTTTCCAATTAGATTATTGAATAGTTTCACTGTCACAGTTAGACAGAGTACAGATTTTGGAATGTTTTAAAATGGCACAATAAAATGGGGGGTGAAATTACATGATGATTTTGTGTCCCGTTATGTAGTGAAAAAATATAGCTCTATTTTCAAACAATTTTCAAGCATATTTTAGACAAAACTCTGCTTACCTCAGTTTTTTTGAAATGCAGGGTTGTACCTGAGGAAAAATATTAGACTACACACTTGGATGAAAATAAGTTATACCGAAATCTGAAGATTTTCCTTTTAAATGTTTTAGGATTAGTTTACCAACCTATTTTTATGTGTTTTGACTAACTTTCATTAGCATTTTCAAGAGGATATTTCTTCCCAAGTGTGTAGCCTACTATATAGAAATCCACCTAAGCAAATGTGTTGCATTATACTGAAGGATTCTACATTTGGAGGACTACTGAGTGCTTTGTGCTGTTGCTGAGCTACTACATTCAAATACCCTTCTATTTTAAAATTATAATTTATGTTTCTCTTTTTCAAATTATTTGGAACGTTACATTATGCCAGTTATACTATAATATCAAAATATATTTCTAAAAAGTCAAAATGGTGTCAACTAGGAAGAGGGAAAATCACAGTCAGAAACCGGGAAATCACTAAGCAAGCCTGCTAATTATTCTTAATGGGCAAGATGAACACATTAAGAAACAAATGAATACATCAGTGCAGTGTAATTGAAAATCGACCTGGCAATAGCACATTGTATCTGAGCATCCACTTTTATATTATCATTGTTGTCATACTTATTATTGTTGCTGTTATTAGCATTATTCGCAGAGCATACCTGGATGTCCTGCTTTTGTGAAGTCTTACATGGGGGGGGGGGAATTGAGATTTATTTTTCAAAAAATAATACTGAATGTAATGTGACACCTCCATTCTGATAGATTTGTTGTTCTCATTTGTGAGAATGATAATTTTTTTTACTTATTGGGATGCCAAAGCAGGTGCTCTCCTAATACAAAATCAATATATATTTGTGCAAGAAATACATACGCTTGCTTCTCTGTTAAATGTTTCAAGCTTCAACTTGATATCTTCTTATGTTCCATAATATTTTAGACAGACTCAGATGCTCAAGTGACATTGTTCACTTTATCACCTCTGGTGCCTTAGTATCATTTAAGTTGCTATAAAATATAGCTGCATCCCATTATCTGCACTAAAAGACAGATATTCTGTTTGCTGCTAGTTATTGAATTGCAGAGTACTGGTAAAACTTAAACATTTTAAAGTAGCATGTAAACCTTTCTTTTTAACCTTTTGATATGTTTGCTAATCGGATAGGGTATTGGAGGAAAATTTAATAGTGTAACCAGAACATTAGCTTTGTGTCATTTGACACACATTTAATTTTTGGGGCTACTGTACAGATCTTTTAATCATAGTTGCATTTTTAATGTAGAAAAAGTATTTATTAATTAACTTCTCTATATGTTTGAGGCCGTTTCCAAAACTATAAATATATAAAATCACAATATAAAACAGAATAAAACCTCAAAGCCATTTTCTAAAATACTTGTATAAACTTTCAAAGCATAAAACCATACCATCAGATAACACATCTAAAAAACTTATCCTCATCATCTCAAAACTGCAGCAATAAAACCTAAAAACAGATTTTAAAATTGATTACATAGCAACTTCAAAGGTTAAGACACATTTAGAAGTCTAAGACTGATACAAATCCTGAAGGGCTAGCCCAAAAACTAGGAGAATTTTTTTTAAAAAAAGCTTTGATGGTGCCAGAAAGTTAATACATTTGGCATCCAGTAGACAGATAGAGGCAGAGCATTCCATGGGAATTGCAAAGAGATTTCTTCAACAGAAAGGGCCTTTTCTCTCCTGACCATCGGCATCACTTCTGAAGACAGGGGGACATGAAAGGGCCCCAGATGATGACCCCCGCCATTCTTCAGCAGGCTCATACGGAAGCTGGCGGTCCTTTAAATAGCCTGGGCCAACACCATTTAGGGGTTTAATAGTAAAAATCAGCATTTAAAATTGAACTTGAAAACAAACCAGCAGTTCACTACATTGCTTTTTACCTATGTCATTCCACTTTGGGGCATTTTTAACATATCATGTCTAATACTTATGCTTTTTTCAGATTTCTGTATTTCTAGTCATTACGTTGCTTATCAGATGTCTTATTCTGCTGATTGCACTGATTTACATTGTGTAATCAACCTTGATTCTCAGTGAGAAAGGAGGACTATAAATAACATAAATAAAAATATGCATTAAGAATTTTAAACACCAGTGAGATATGTTCTAGCCACTGCGTTCTGGACTAATTGAAGTTTCTAAACCATCTTCAGAGGTAGCTCGCTGCAGTAGTCTAACATGGAGGAAACCAGAACAGGAGCCAACTTCTATCCAGCTATCTTCCAGGGAATGTTCCTAGTGGGACCACTACCCTGAAGGGTCACTGGCAGCCAGAAGCAAGCCGAGCCAGACCCCAGTTGCTGCTCCAGTGCTGCGAGTGTCACTCAGCTCATACCTATCTAATGACATAAGCAATGGATTTGGGCTCTTCCTCCTTCAGAAGACAGTGGGTGACCCAAAAACAATTGTTGGTGTCACTGACCAGGCCTGAGCTGACTGGTCCCTGTAGTCTTGGCTTGTAGATCTAAGCACCCCCCACACTGTGGCATTGCTTCTTAAGGAGGAACACCATGATCAGCTCTACCAACAGCCACAAACACTTGGATTATCTGGATTAAATATCAGTTTATTGGCCATATTCAGTTTATTACTGCCACCAAGCACCTGTTCAGAATATCCACTGCTTCACCTGACTTGGATGAAATATAAAAGCAGAGATGCATGTCATCAGCATATTGATAATTTTTGGTGCCAGACATCCAGATGACATTTTCCAGTAGTATCACAAAGGTGCTGAACAGAATGGGCACCAATTAGATGATAAATGTTATGGAGTTTAACAAAAAGCCTCCCCCCCACACACACACTACATTCTAGAATTAGTCAGACAGACAGAACCACCAGAGCCTAATGCTGTAATATTCAACTCAGCCAACCAATCCTGGATGATAATATCGCTGAAGGTATCAAAAGCTGCTGAGAAGTTAATGAAAACCAACCCGGGCTCTCTCCTGGTAGTATTTAAATGTAGTTTAGAAATTCTACATTAATTGTCTGGGCTTTTGACTAGACAAAATGAATGTATGGTTCTTGTGTGAATCCTAATAGGGTTCTAGTCAACATGGAGTTGTCATAGTCAGCATATGCCTACCTGCCAAAAAGAAGGTAGTAGCCTACTGAACTGGAACTGGGCGAAAACATAGTGGGATGGACTTGTTTCTCTTGTACTTACATCAGTTCAAGATATTTTGCATGCCATTGAGCTGTTTTTAGAGCTATTGTTTAAGGCTGTTCTAGTTATCTAAATCAGTATTTTTAGATAGAAATTTGTTTTCCTAGCATTTATTTCCAGATAAATATATTCAGGATTGTGGTGCTAGCCTGTCATTTAAACACATCTAACCATGTATGCTGTAGCTCACAAAAGCTTACACCACAAAACTCGAAGGTATCACAATCCTTGTCATAGTTTTACATACTTCAGACTAACAAAGCTCTCTTTCTAGAACTCTAAGCACAATAACCTAGGCATGAGTTGTACTTAAACTCATGAAACTGATTTCCAACTAAATGTTTTAAAGAGCGAGATTGCAGAGCTGGAAAAAGTACAGAGGAGGGCAACCAAGATGATTGGGAGTTGGAGCACTTTCCCTGTGAGGAAAGGCTGAAGAGTCTGGGACTTTTCAGGTTAGAAAAGAGACAACTAAGGGGTGGGGGGATAGGATAGAGATTTATAAAATTATGCATGGGTTGAAGAGAGTTGACAAAGAGAAATTTTTCTCCCTCTCCAAAAATACTAGAACTCAAGGGCATCCAATGAAACTGAAGGGCAGTAGGTTCAGGACGGACAAAAGGAAATACTACTTTGTGCAGAGAGTGATTAAAATATGGAATTCACTACCGGAGGATGTAGTGAAGGCCACAGGAATAAACAGCTATAAAAGGCGATTCAATAGATCTGTGGAGGGTAAATCTATCAATGGCTACTAGCCATGGTGGCTTAGGGAAACTTCCACATTCAGGGGCACTAATCCTCTGAATCCCAGAGCCAGGAGGTAACATCAGGGAAAGGCCTTGGCCATCCAGAGAAACTGGTTGGTCACTGTGTGAGACAGGATGCTGGACTAGATGGACTATTGGTCTGATCCAGCAGGGTTCTTCTTAAGCTATTATGGTCTTATGAGATATATCCGTCACCTTTTGGGCCCCTCACTGTCATATAGCAGCAATTACCCCAAACCCCATGACCCAATGTTTGGATTAGAAGTTGCTCAGAAAAGCAAGTCTACCTTGCCACCTGGAGTCTTTTTGAGACTGGTTTATAAGTGCTATAAGTGGTTTATAAATGCTGTAAAATAAATAAGAAATCAATAAATCTCTGAAATATTCTGTGGATTTGGAGTGCCATGTAAATATCATGGGAAGGCAAAGTGAAAAATTACACAGAAATAAAAGGATAGGTTTTGCTCATCCCAATTTTAGGATCATTTAAGTTAACAGATCTCAGTGGCAGGGATAATCACAAAATTCTATTAAATACTTCACAACCATCCCTTCCCCTAACTGCTTATCAGACTGAAACCCAATCTAAGCTTATTAGGTAGAAGGAAGGCCTCTTGATTTCAGAATTTACTATTGTGTACGTGCACTCAGAAATCATAGCTTTCCATTTTCTCAGTTCTTATGGTGGAGATAGCAGTTTTTGCATGAAAGACAGATTTTTCCACCCTTTGCTCATTAATGATTTATTCTGGCTTTGCAGTTGTTAAAGGGCATCTCTTCTAACTTTTTCAAAAAATCTATCCCTATATGAATTCATTATTATGAATAATTATGTCCAGTGAATTCAGGAATCAAAGTAAGTAAATGTAAAGGTTTTCCTTGTTCAAAAGCCAGTTGAATCCGACTCTAGGGGGCAGTGCTCATCTCTGTTTCCAAGCTGAAGAGCTAGCGCTGTTCAAAGACTTCTCCATGGTCATGTGGCCGGCATGACTAAATGCCGAGGTGCACAGAACACTGTTATCTTCCCACCGAAGTGGTACTGATTTATCTACTTGCAATTTCTTGCTTTTGAACTGCTAGGTTAGCAGGGGCCATAGATAGGAGCTCACTCGGTCATGCAGTGCTAGGGTCGAACTGCTGAGCTACTGACTTTCTGGTCTGCAATTCAGCATCTTAACCTCTGAGCCACAAAAAAGTAGGGTTGGATCCAACAACTGTTTCCCCCTAATGGAAGTTCATGTCGACCAATGGAGGAGGGGGCCTAAGTTTTGCAAAACCTCTCCCCACTTCAGACCCTTACATCCTGCCAAGTGCTGTTCTTGGAGGTTCTGAGGCAGCATTTCAGAGAGTGCAGACGGGCTGTACTGGGAACAGGGAAGCATAAACTACCCATTCTGTGAGCAGAGGCCTGGTTGTGGTTGGTTGCATGCATCCTGTTAAAATTAGTATTATGCAGAAAGAATTCAAAATGGCTAGTGATTTTTTTTTTACAAGGGTCCATTAAGTTAAAAAGATTTGTTATGAAAGAATTGTAATTTTGGTCTAGTAATTTCAATTTTATGAGTGATTCTTAACAAGTGTGTTATAGATGTAAACAACATTATCAGAAGAAACCAAAAGGCAGGCATGTTTAGAGTTCAAGCTATCTCAAGTCGGTAAGATATTTCCTGTATAATTACTTCTAATTGAAATGCACCCTTCTTAAAATCACTGAAAGGTAAGTAATTAAGAAATTACTTTCAGTCTTGTTCTTGGTTTTTATTTGAATTGTCAAGCAAAAATTATATTGCATTTTGTATTAACAGTATATATAGTTCTTTTTTTTAATTCTTTAAATAGTATATATAGTTCTGTGTTTTAAGAAAACCTTTTTATTTCAGACTTTATTATCAAACCACTTCACTTATCAGTACTCTTATTGACATCAGTGAGACCACTTCAAGATACATGAAATGTTCACTGGAAGCAAAATAATAATAATAATAATAATAATAATAATAATAATAATAATAATAATAATAATAATAATAATAATAATAGAAGAAGAAGAAGAAGAAGAAGAAGAAGAAGAAGAAGAAGAAGGTTCATTTGTTGTGTATTCTCAGCTGCAAGGTTCAAATTCAGATATCATAATATTTGCTCATTTTAGGCCACCCCTTTATGCTAAATAAAGGACAATTTCTGTTTATTAACAAATATATCTATATAGCGCATAGACTTTTAGACAAAAGAAAAATCTATGTATAAAATACAAAGTTTAAAATTTTAAAAAGCTAAACAATTTATAACTAATAAAGTCATTGGTAAAAAATTTGTCTTAAGACTGGCTGCTTGGCCACAGCACATTGCACGTTCATGAAAACCCCAGTTCATAGACAACCTGATTCTGTAGCAAAGGAACAGTATGGATCTGGTACTCAGAGCCACTGGAGAGGTGCACAATGTTGCTGGTGCCTCTCCTCACCACCCCCACCCCCCAAGTTTCAAAAACATTGGACTAGGGGGGGGGCCAATTCTACGGGCCCCAGAAGGAGTTGCCCACATTCTCCATTGTTTCCAATGGAGAGAAAATGCCTTCTCAGTTCACTTGTGAGCTGATACAAAAATCCCTAAGCTTCCAGCTAAAATTTTGTGCACCAACACCCCCTAGTGCAGCTTAGTGGGAACTTTGGGGATGAGTGCCAGACAGCAGGCACTGCTACTGAGAAAGCCCTTATGTAGGATCCCACTGTAGAAATTCCTCTGACAAGATTCCCACAATAAAGGGGGAGGCAGTCTATCAGGAACCTTGGGCCCAAGCCATTTAGGACCTTAAAGGGTAACACCAACACTTTTTATTGGGACCCCACGCACTCTGGGAGCTAATGTATTTGGCACAAGATGAAAATTATGTGCTCACTGATGCTGTCTGCTGGAAACATCTTGGCTTCTACATTCTAAACCAAACCAAGTAAAGCTTCTGAGCCATCTTTAAAGGTAGCCATGCATACAGCAGGTTACAGTAGTCCAAACTGGAGATTATCAAGGGTTGTGTGACTGTGGCTAGACCTGTTTGGAAAAACTCACTTATGGGTACCTGTGTCATCTGGGCATCAAAGAGCATACTCAAACTGCAAGCTTCCTCCTTCAGAGGCAGTACAGCCCCATCCAATGCAACCTATTCCCAGATCAGCTTAACCCCTGACCCAGGACCTCCATTTCAGCTAGATTTGAGTTTGTTCACCCTCATTCAATTCCTCATTCCTTAGAGCCTCAAGAGCTTTTCTACAGCTTCCCTGGATCTTGACGGAAAAGAGAAATAGGACTGAGTGTTGTCCATATACTGGTAACAATGCACTCTAAATCGTCCCAGTACTTTCCTGTACATATTAAAAAAGCATAAGAGACAAGATGGAACCTTGTTCCCAGCACCAGATTTTGAAACAAAAAAAGACCAAACCCTATCCAACACAGTAGCAGTTAGGCACATGAGAAGAGGGTGGACTGCTCCTGTTGGAGGACTAGCATAGATCACCCACCAGGGTGATCAAAGCTATTCTGGGGGCATGCCGTGGATGCAAGACAGACTGAAAGGGATCAAGATATCACTCTCCTTTAGAAATGTCAGGTGATCCATGCCTGTTATCTTCTGTAAAACCTTGTTCAAAGAAGGTAGATCCAATACTGGCCTGTAATTGCTGGATCCAAAGTCGGGGTTCCCCCAGTAAGAGTCTAACAAATTCCTTTCAAAGAGAGGGCGTAACTTACTGATCCTTCTGTGAAGGATGCATGTATGATACTTGTCATCCATGAAGACAACCTCTATCAAATTTAAGTGACCACTAGAGACAGGGGCCCAGTAATCATGGAATAGGCCATAACACTCCATGCATTCTGTCTACATCCTCAGAACCATGTGAAAATAATCCATAGAAACCTGAGGAACAGAGGTCTCAGGAGGCTTTAGCATGTCTGTAGAAGATGTGGCATCCAAGTTGGATTGGATGTGAGTTGTTTTGTATACAAAATATCTAGCAAATTAATTACAGGCAAGTTTTAAAATAATCTTCTATTTGCTTCTAGAGGCCTAGATGCAACAAGCCTCTAACAATTAGCTTCAAATCTGGCTCTCTGTCTATGACAACTGTCTTGCTATGCAGTGTTACACAATCACGTGCCATTCTGTTTGTGGCAAATGTTGGAACATTTTAAGGATAGGCTCCAATCCACTTATTCTAGTCTAGAACCTGTTCCCTTGCAGACTGCTGTGGTTTGCGTTTCATTGCCTAAATGGAATAGATAAAAGATGGGTATGAATAGGCCTAGTAAAAGGACTAGCACAGTGATGTAAGCCTAAAACTTCAGTTTTATCACACTGACTGGAGGATTGAGAAAAAAAATCACTGGAAGAGATTTTTTTTAGGAAACTGTAGCTTCAACATGCAACCAGTATTTTCATTTGCTACAGCATTGGTTAGATGCTAAACAAGTGGGGCTTAAAGCAATCAGTTCTTTTCTGCATAATGTTTGCTAAACATGTATATAATGCCATATTATTTCGGGTTCCAAATGCACTGTCCACTTTTATCTCATTGTGAATTGGTCCCCCTTTTTGTTTCATGCGTACCCGTGTATTCTGTGGGCTTCAAATTGCCATGTAATGTGTTCAGGACTTCATCTCTTGTCAAGATTTCAAACCTGGTCTTTTAGATATCAATCAAAAGCACATTTTCAACGATGTCCTCATTTACATTTATTTAATGTTTAAGGTCATTTGTGATCATTTGAGTGTATTTCAGCATATGGAATCAGTGAATAATAGATTTCAGCTCCATGCTGTGAAGAAAGATTGTGTTTTTACAAGACATAATGTTGTTTACTGGGTGTTAATAATCACTAATTAATAAACATATCTAGACTTTTGAAATGTTGCATTGAAATGTCAAGTGTTTAACTTCATGAGTGCAATAACATTTTCTCCCTTCTCCCTTTATATATACATACATACATATACATATATCAAGACATAATGTTGTTTACTGGGTGTTAATAATCACTAATTAATAAACATATCTAGACTTTTGAAATGTTGCATTGAAATGTCAAGTGTTTAACTTCATGAGTGCAATAACATTTTCTCCCTTCTCCCTTTATATATACATACATACATATACATATATACACACACACACATATACTACATATATACATACCAACAATAAATAAACACAATAAAATATTATTATTTTTTACCAAAATATCACTTTTAATCTATTCTGCTAATTACAAAATTATTGGGATTTCCCAAAACTGCACAACCCACCCAGTCCCCTTACATAGGAAATCTCTAAGACTGTGAATTCCCCTGACGTGGTTAAGGCAAGCATATGGGAATCTCACTTGGCACCATCAGAACGGCCTCTTACAAGGATGTCTACTTGTTAACCATGGGCCTTTTCCTTCTTTTACATCTGTTTTAAATGCATCACATTCAGGTCTGCAATTTCTTTTCACCTTTACTTGTGCTCCTTTTTTTGTTATTTTTGGAATTTGTGTGTTGTGTGTCCCTGTACCTGGAAGACTGAGACCTCTGGTGACTCCTACTGGGGCATGGAGGATGTTCAGAGAAGTGGCTTGATAACCTCCTCTGCCTTCCGATCCTGGTATTCTTTGGAGGTCTCCCTTCCAGTTACTTTCCAAGGTCAGCCCTGCTTAGCTTCCAAGATCTGACAAGATCGGGCTTGCCTGGGCTATCCAGGTCAGGGCCACTTTACTTATGCTCCTTGAACAACACTCAGTTTTTTATCACGAATACAAACAAATGCAAAATAAAATTCTTAGTTGCCACAGCTTCTTGTGAAGTAGCTTGTTTCCAGCATCTTGGGGATAATCAACCCTCCTTAGCATAGGGATGCTATCAACCCTAAAGCACACAGCTGGGTCTGAGAAGAATTTCGTTCTCCTGCTGCTGCTTGGAAAAGGGTCTCTAGAAAGATCAAACAGAAGCATTATTTCTCAATGACAAATTGTAGAAAGGGCACATTATTGTTATTTTGCTGCTCCTGAACTGGTTATTAGACTAATGTAAGTCAGGTTTGGTCCAAATGCACATCCAAGTCC